ACACCCTACCTCAAATGTTATTAATCTTGTCCTTTTTTTTTTTTAAGATTTTATTTATTTATTTGAGAGAGAGAGAATGAGAGAGAGCAAGCACATGAGGGGGGGAGAGTCAGAGGGAGAAGCAGACTCCCTGCTGAGCAGGGAGCCCGATGCAGGACTCCATCCAGGGACTCCAGGATCATGACCTGAGCCGAAGGCAGTCGCTTAACCAACTGAGCCACCCAGGCGCCCTAACCTTGTCCTTTTATTCTAATGTGTCTAATTAATGCCGAGTAGAGCAGAAGGATGACTTTTTAAAAAGGTATACATTTGCTAAAATATCCCACTCTATTATGACTTTTATGAAAATAAATCGATTTTGCAGATACATGTTTGACTTGTTTGATATGATCTATTTTTCTTATGTAGCCATCTAGAACATATTGTATAATATTACCATGTATTTTTTTAATTAAACCTATAATTTGGTTTTAGATTATCTTCTAAAGTCATTAAGAAAGATAATTATCTCCTGAAAAGTATTTAGGATATGTTAGAAGCTACTTTTTAAAAGCATAAAGCAGGGGGTGCTTGGGTTGCTCAGTCAGTTAAGCTTCCAGCTCAGGTCTTGATCTCAGGATCATGAGTTCAAGCCTCATGTTGGGCTCTACCCTGGGTGTGGAGACTACTTACAAAAAAAAAGGGGGGGAGGATAAAACAGCATATATATTACAAAACTATTTTTTCAAAAATAATAATCCCCAAATGATACTTCTGCTATAAAACAAGGCCAAGTCCAAAATTCATAGTCTTTAAAATAGAAGGGCCACCATTTTTCCTCTTCTCAGCTTAACATTCATTGTTTATGGCTACTTTTGGAACTTAATGAAATTATACAAGCTATATTTATTCATGTTCTCACCTCTGGATAGCATCTCTTTACTGAAGGATTTTTTTCCAATAGCCATACATACCATGAAATCATTTAAGTATAAGTAAAGTCAATGAAAGGTGAAGGACTTTCGTCTTCCAGGGAAGTTGGTTGATAAATGCATCAGCTCATCTAAGTTTGCCTACCAGATGTGATTTAACTTTAACATTTCATAATTCTGTTTGCAAGCAAAGTGAAAAAGGAAACAAATGAACAAATATAATTTGTTGAGGTCTGTGAATTGAATAGAGAAGTGTGGAAAGAGATGAAGGTAGGGGTGAAGGAACTGCTTGAAGGCAAGAATGAATCATTAGGATATGATACAGAAGGTAATGAAGAGCAAATGGTTTAATGATGCCAGAGGAACACCTGATCTTGACTATTGAATAAGAGGGTAGAAAGACAGTGGGTAGAAATCTTTGGTTCATAGGGCACCTGGGGGGCTCAGTTGGTTGAACCACTGACTCTTGATTTGGGCTCAGGTCCTGATCTCAGGGTGGTGAGATGGAGCCCCACATCGCATCAGACTCCCTACTCAGTGGGGAGTCTGCTTGAGATTCTCTCTCTCGGGGCACCTGGGTGGCTCGGTCAGTTGAGCAGCTGCCTTTGGCTCGGGTCATGATCCCAGGGTCCTGGGATCGAGCCCCGCGTTGGGCTCCCTGCTCGGTGGAGAGTCTGCTTCTCCCTCTCCCTCTGCCTGCCTCTCTGCCTACTTGTGCTCTCTATCTCTCTGTCAAATAAATAAATAAATAAATAACCCATGCTTAAAAAAAAAAAAAAAAGAGAGAGAGAGATTCTCTCTCTCCCTCTGGCCCTCTCCCTACTCACATGCTCGCTCTCTCTCTCTCTCTCTCTTAAATAAATAAATAAATAAATCTTAAAAAAAAAAAAGAAGAAATCATCTTTGGTTCATTGGCTTAAAACAGGTATATTTCAAAGTTCTCGTTTTTGATAAACTACAGGCTGTTTTCAATCTAGTACAAATATTCATGTACAAATATTAGTGGTCAGATGTTCCAAACAATGGTAATTGGTTGATGGACTGAAACTTTTTAACTAACATAATAAAGAAATAATAATTAAAACCAGAGAAGAAAACTACAAAACTATAAGTAGTCTTTGCCCCAAAGAACTTTCAGAGCCACCCTCACAGATGGTAACCAAGTTTGATAGGCCAGAGAGATAGGCAGTTTTCAGGCTTCCTTCTTGCGCCAAGATTATTGGGCCAATGTCAGAGACAATGACCAATCTCTTTCAAGTTGGCCCAGAGGGATCTGGCAAGCAAAGTTCAAATCTCTGCAGAATATTTCATCCTTACAATGAACTACAGGCCCTGCTTGTGTTTACCATATGGGTTTATTCTTAAGTCAATTAAAAGATAAGCAGTCTCAGAAAACATATGGTACATATTCCACAATACTTTAGAGAAACTGTACAATGTATCTTCCATAGAATCTACAATTTAACAGAGAATTAAAATTTGCCTTACAGTCACACAAAACTTGCTAGTATCAGATTGTCCTTAAGTACAAGTAGATAAATTTATTTTGCCATTCTTAATAGGAGAAAAATTGCAGGCCATCCAGTATAGAAATTCTGCAATTTTTGTTCTTTTAAGACTAGCAAAATGTATTCTTTTGCTAGCCATAATATATGAACCAATGTACACTCTTTTATACCTATGTAAGCCACATTCTCAAAGGCATGCAATACAGTTTAAAGAGTTTTTGGTTATTATGCCCTGAAAAAACATTTGAGATAACAATTCTACCAATTAATGTTGACATATTCTGTTTATTTAAAAGTATATCAGTATGAGGGTCGCCTGGGTGGTTCAGATGGTTAAGCGTCTGCCTTTGGCTCAGGTCATGATCCTAGGGTCCTGGGATCGAGTCCCACATCGGGCTCCCTGCTAGGCAGGGAGCCTGCTTCTCCCTCTGCCTCTGCCTCTCTCTCTCTCTCTCTAACTTTCATGAATAAATAAATAAATAAAAACATTTTAAAAAATAAAAAATAAATAAAAGTATATCAGTATGAAAATTCTTTAATAATATTTCAATCATTCTTCAAGTACGCATGATTTAAAATTGCCATCTTTTCCTCTGAGTATAATAAAACATCAGTTTATAAGGTATGTCCAGGTAGTATCTGGGGTATATCTATTGGAGAAAGTGTTTTGGGGCACCCAAAGAAGATGACAAGATCTCTTTAATTTACAATGTAAAGCAACCATGCTATTTTATAGCAGGCAATTTTTGTACTTTTCTCCTTGTCTTTATTTTTAGTCTCTATGATGTTTTGTTCCCAGATGTCGGAATGTAGCTAAACAGGGGCTGCTGCTAATTATTGAGCAAATATCCATATGAAGTCCAGATGTTAATGTGTGATCATTTTTTTCTATCATCAAATACATTTCTTTTTGAGTCATGTTGAGATCAGATAAGAATCTTCCTACACTTTACCTTCGTCAGTTGGAGCCCTTACTTTATTTAGTCTTCAGTCAGTTACCTATCATTTACCTACACTTTTATGTGAAGTTTATATCCAAATGAATTAACTTTATGTTTCTTATTTTGTTAAGTATAATCTGACTTAGATTTCCATAAGAAGAAAACCTCTTAAGAAAGACATTTTTATGTGCAATTTATAAAATAAAATGTTGAAACTAAGCACAAAGAGAATATCTGGAGAGAAAACAAATAAACACTACATTTAGCTAGATGTTAACATCAAATGTTTTCTTCCAGAGAAATGGTTATTAATAATAGAAGAACAATATAAAACCCTAAGTTAATTGTGGGAATTTTCAAAGCTTCTCTGGGCTGGAAGAAAATAAAAAAGCAGTCAATCTCTCATGGCTTACCAATAGATCAATATATACTCTTCATATTAATAAATTTGAATATTTTAATTTGAAATTTAACTACTGAGTCTATACTTCAGAACAATATAGCTGTTTAAGTAGAGAAAATTACCACAATGCTTTCTAACACTAAATTCCTATTATAAACTAACTTCACAGGTTCTGAATCCTCTAGAAATATTAGCATTACAAACCGAACACTCAACACTAGAAAAACCACATTTCAGTAACTCTCATATGGGAATAAAATAAGACTCGAACAAAACCAAAACTTACAATTTTTTTTAAAAGTCAATAAGTTTAAAATTGTTATGGTACTACCATACAATTCCCTTTTTTGATTCTTGGAAACACTGAAAAGCACTTTATTAAAGTATATTTCAGTTACTCTCTCCATAAACACATAATTTTTTGTAGACAAAACTGGGTGAAGAAATCCAAGAGATATTATAATTTCAAACTGTATTTTTGCTCAAACTGAGGTTATAACATTACAAAGTCTTCCCACCAACTAAGGAGCAAAAGAGGCTGCTCATTGTCTGATTTGGCTCCAGATGTAGAAGTCATGGCATTGGCCTTCAGGAGAGTTGTGGGAAACCAATTTCAACTGGTTCATATTCAAAATTTGAGCATGATACTGGTATATCTGATTGTTTTGTGTAAGAACTTATGGTATGGAAAGATATATTTTGAGAGATATCTAAATATAAAGTAGCTTTACATTATATTTTAATTCTCCAACAAATTATCTTGATTTTTCCATGCCAGGCAATTTTCACATATTTGTACATGAAACTTTGATTAAAAGAAATGAGCCATTCAGTGACTCAAAGAAAATTTTTGGCATTAAAGAAAAAAGTCACTACTTGCAGACTTACCTGTGGTGTCCCTAATCAATGAAAACCTTTCAATAACTCAAATACAGGTTAACTGAATGTGGTTTACTAATTATTATGCCAAACATTATGAACAAAAAAAGTTCAAAACCCATTATAGACCTATGCATCATGTGATATTAGAACACTAAATCTCTAACTGTAAACTATCATTTTGTACAACTTAATGAATAACAATTATGAGAATTAATCCATTAATCTGGGACTAGAAAAAAGCAGGCCATGTGCCTAAAAGAAAACAGATGATATATCTACAAGTTCTAGTTCTCTTTCTTCCTATTAGTAAACTGATATATTTAACAGGAATAAAAATCAATGGGAGTACGGGTACCTGGGTGGTTCAGTCGGTTAAGCGTCTGCCTTCAGCTCAGGTCATGACCCCAGGGTCCTGGGATTGAGTCCTGCATCAGACTTCCTGCTGAGCAGGGAGCCTACTTTTCCCTCTGCCTCTCCCCCAACTTGTGTTCTCTCTTGTGCATGCTCTCTCTGTCAAAAAAATAAATAAAATCTTTTTTAAAAAAATTGATGGGAGTATATATCTAAGTTGGATCTTTTTTTTTTCATTTAGCCTAAAGGCATATGGAGAAAAAAGAAGTTATGATTAGATTTTACTAACCATGAGAGGGTTTTTAAACATTTTAAAGGAAAGTGAAATTTTTATGAGGTCATAGATCTTTCAAAATATTTTCCAAAGTTGTCATCTTTGGTATTGTGCTTCACATTTCAGGAGCTTGAACGCCAATCTGCATCCCAACATCATGGAAGTATCTGAAATATTAGATTTCCTTACAATGCTAAACAATGTCTAAAATTTAGGAGGATATAGCATATCTGGGGGATGCTAGTAAGTAAAGCTTGTGTTCACAGTCCTCACTAGGGATGGGCCCCTAAAAGACACTATAATATAAATTTCAATTATGTTTCAATTAACAGAATCACGATTGTTTGTTACTTTGTGTAGCACTAACAATCTGGAAGCAAAAATTAACTTTGATGGATTGAAAAGCATCTTGGTAAAATCACCATTTCCTTGATTACTCAGTTTTATGTCCATAGATGAAAAAGTCTTCCTAAAGTGATTAGTACACCTACTTGATTCCAGGTAGGATTATACCTAGACCATCTAGTAAATGTAGTTGGTGGGGGGGAAAATACATAAAATACATCACATCAGAAATGATCATTTCTAGTTCCAAAGATTTTATTGTCAGGAAATACTTTGTATATATCATTATAAGCCTTCTTACCCATACTGACCCCAGAAGACTAAACTCTGGACAATAAGGTTGGTTCTAAGATGAATCATTTTGTACACAGTCATCTACAGGCCAAGCTTTTAATGACAGCACAATAACACTGAAACATTATTTTTATGGCAGAAAAAAAATGTAGTATTTATTTCCCCAAAATTTCCACTGCATTTGTTAGTACATTTTTTCAAGAACAGAAAATGAAACACTTAGGGTATAAAGATTTATCTACACAAATAAAGTGAAATATGAGCAATGTGGCCTTGTAGGAAGAGCACTGGTCCAAAGGTTTCCAGATGACTCTGACTAATAAGCCACAACACTTTAGGCAAGTGACTTGGCCTCTCGCTTACTATTTTTAAACAGTAAAATTGGGGGGCGCCTGGGTGGCTCATTTGGTGGTTAAGGATCTGCCTTTGGCTCAGGTCATGATCTCAGGGTTCTGGGATCAGGCCCAGTGGCAGGCTCCCTGCTCAGCAGGGAGTCTGCTTCTCTCTCTTCCTCTGCCCCCTCCCCCTGCTCATGCTCTCTCTCCCTCTGTCTCTCTCTCAAATGAATAAATAAAATCTTTTTAAAAAATAAAAATAAATAAACAGTAAAATTGGAATAATAATGGCCATCTGAGAAAATTAATTACATAAGTAATATGGATTGGAGGATTCATAAAAATGCCAAATCCACCTTTATATTTAATAGCAGAATATGGGCCCTGAATTAACCATCTAATTTTCACAAAAGATATGATATACTGAGAAGTCGCAAAGTCCTACTAAAGCATCTAAAATTTTTCTCTCCAAGTAAACAGATATAAGACGGATGAAGCTTAATAGAGCACCAGAAGGCAGAAAAACAGAGGTTAAACATTCTATGAATACAAAAAGCCAGCTTAATATGAAAATAAATATACAGATTTACATAAAAAAGATAAGAAAAAATAATATACTTGTCACTTTATACTTTCATTAAAAAGCTTTATCAAATTTTTCCCTCTTCTGGGGGTATTAAAAACAAAATTTCCTGAGGTCAAGAGAAAACTATTTCAAGAAAACTATTCAAACTAATTCTTACTACACAGAACTAAAGAAATTGGAATGGCTTAAGATGAAAAAGAGAATGCTTTGTCTACTACTCTCTTAACATAAAAGGCCATTATGAAGAGGATGTTAACCAGTCGTTCTACACCATAACAAGATGAATGGATTTTAAAACATTAGCAGAAATACTTGTAAAATTTAGCAGGATAGGTCACACTTGGAATTATTAAGAATGTTTTATTATGTGGATAGGCATTGAAACAGTCTAAGAGAGGGCATGTATTCAGGATCTTTAAGAATAGAAAAGATAATTTATCCTGAAAGTCTTGGCCTCACCTTGCTAAAGCTGGCTACTTGACAACTGACCTTTGAGATCATTTCAGGCACTTGGATTTTATAGTTTTTCTCAGAAAAGAAAAGGACATTCTTAAATTGACTGTAGTTAATGATTTCTTATTTTATTACACGTATTATAATTTTAACACATCACTTTTTGCCAAATTAATAGCAATATTTTAGAAGAAGATGAGAAGCTCTGTATTTGATAATGAGTTCAATGCCAATCCAATCACTTTAACCAGGGCAGTTTTGATACAGATTAGCTATAAAACGATTGAATTTCTAACTTAGTTTAATACACACAATGAATACTAGTGGGTTTTCATTTCTAAAGGTAAGCATAATTGCACATGTCTGGCCAGATATAATTAAGTCTGAAAAGCTGAAACCTTTTAGCCAGTATTCAGAAGAAAAAATGTAATAGTACATTTCGTTATTAAATGTTACATGCCCTATAAAATGCCACAAAAGAGACATTTTATTTTTAAAAGATTATTGGTTATATTCAAAATGACCTTCTAGACCATTAGGTAGAATTTGTTTCTGTGGAGCACTGAAAGTGATACAGCCCTCATCACTTAACTGCTGATCTCTCGGTTCCCACATATTCCAGAACTAGAATTTGGCCTGCTGAGTTCTGGCAAGGCTTGTGTTGGTATCAAGCAAACTCCCTTCCAAAAAAGTGTTGGATAGCACTACCATAACTCTGAGTTGTACTGAAATCCAAATGTGAATTTCCTGGAACACATATGGGAACATGCAGTCAACAGATTTCTGAAACTGCATACCAGCACTTTGCTTTGCCTCTGCAAGTGCTTGCCTATCTTGGAAGAAAATCTATTAAAATCTTTTCCAATGGGTTCCGAGAGAAAATATTGAAACTAAAGTGGCCACTTCGCTAGTCAGCATCAAAGTTTTATATACTAACTTCCATATGAAGCTGGATGAATATAAAATGTTTTTTTCTGTATACATGAGAGCACGCTACCAAAATAGCAAAAGATCAGAGTGACATTGACAGAATTGCAATTATCATCATCTTCTACACAAATTTTCTTAAATTCAGCCTTTTTGTCCTTCATCAGAACAAAGTTGAGTCTTAATACCTAAATTTGCTATTCTGTGCTTTTGCTCAATAAAAGGTTTTGGTAAAGGCTGCTTTACATTGCATTTTCTTAAACTACCTGATTAAAACCTTGGTTTCCATATATTTTAAATATTCTTTTCACTTATTCATTTTCTACCACCTTCCACACCTTATATCCAAAGCAATTCTCTTGTTCCCTACCTGAACATGTTCTCCACTCTTCAGATTTCAAGTACTTGAAAAGAAATGACAAAGTTGAGTAAACAATTCAGCTTCTTTCTGATGTGTCATACCAATAGTCTGAGAAAGTCAAATTAACTGCTCTCTGTAATTAACCACTAGGTTTCTGATTGGTGCAGAGGGTTTTCCAATCTGGGTTTACTCAGTTTCTCAGGTAACCCCGGGCTTTTTTAAATTATAAAAAATTGATTCTAGCACAAGGCCTAATACATAGTAGCAAGAAAGGAGGACAAAGGGAGTTATATATGGAAATACCTTCTCTAAAATCTGAGGAACTACTAAATATAATAGAAATAAAACCTCTCCCCAGAATAAAAATCATTTTAAAAATAGGGTCATATATTTTCCTAAATGAAATTTTCATGCATAATCTAAAAAATATAAAAGAATTTTTAAAGACAACAGACTGGTACATAGGACTGAGTCTCAGAGCAGAAATCAGAACTGACAGGCCTCCATTGAGCAAGCTAGGCACATGTACATGAATCCAGGTCAGTTGACATAAAGTCACTATTTTCTCTCACCACACCAATCCCAAAGTTGTTGTTGTTGTTTTAATGTGTTTTACTCATAAGATGACCATCTGATAAAATGCCTCCTGCTCTGAAGTTGTAAGGCAAACTATTGTTTTAGATAACAGGTTTGAACCATGCTTGTGGCTATGTAATGGAGAGAGAGACTATCTCAGGTAGAGCCTATGTGGTATACACAGCACAGATTCAGACAGACCTGTGTCCAGGTCTGCTAGGCATCAGGGCAGCCCAACAGATGTTTATTTGAGTGAGAGGCAAAGGACCTCCTTGAGCAGAGTCCATCTTAATGGATAAGAGCCAACTTCATAGACTTGGCCCAATAAAAACAACTGAATTGGTCAACGGGGTTGGTAGTAAGTGTGACAGTGAATGCAATAGGAGTTTACTACTAATCAAATTTGTCTTCTAACTCACCCTGATGTATGAGTTTTAGGGAAATAGAGACTACAAATTAGGACAGAAAACAAAACTAAAAAAGCTGTTTCTTAAAAAAACATTTCAGGGGCCCCTGGGTGGCTCAGTTGTTAAGCGTCTGCCTTCAGCTCAGGTCATGATCCCAGGGTCCTGGGATCGAGCCCCGCATCGGGCTCCCTGCTCGGCGGGAAGCCTGCTTCTCCCTCTCCCACTCCCTCTGCTTGTGTTCCTTCTCTCGCTGTCTCTCTCTCTCTGTCAAATAAATAAGTAAAATCTTAAAAAAAAACATTTCATAAGGTGTTGAGTGAGGTTCAAGCCAATCCTTGAGGATATACTCATTGGAAAAAAAATACTAAGACAACAGAAAGACATACTCCCCAATGACCTTACAGCACCATGAGGTACAGGATATCAGCTGTCCCCCAGCTCCATGAGGAACGTGATACACTGCACAGCTAACAGTGGCAGCATACCACAAGAACAATGGTATTGGGGATGCAGGGGCTAGAGATCATGGCTACCTGTGGAGGCTGAGAATGTAAGGAACACATGTTTGTTACCTATCATAATTCCCAGCTATAAGTAAGAA